TGTCTATACAAACGATAAAAGTATTAGAATTGCAACCACTAAAATTTTTTAATTTTTGTATCGCCATATTTTTTATTTAAAACATATTCTTTTCTCTCGCTTCGTCTGCCATTACTAGCTTAAAAAAAATCTCCGGTCGGGCCGCAATGCATTATGGGATATGCTGGGTCGGGAAGGATCCATCGGACCTGTCCTTCAAATCGGGGAAAAGGAAGGACGTATTTGTTGGCCGCATTGGAGGAGTCTTTGGTTTGGGACGTCCTTCGTCGCGGCACTATGACGTATGCGGCCGACAAATTCGGCCTTAGGAGGACCCAGCCTGCCGTTTTGGACACAGCCATTGTGTGCAATTAATCGCCAGAAAAACTTTAATTGATTATTTTTTGGCACCTGACGATTAATACGATCAATGCCACCATGACTGACTGGAGATTTCCCCAAGTAGGGGTCTCTGCGGACGAGTGGGCGTGTCCCAATGAAAGACGATTTTAAAACAACACACCTGATTTGACAGATTTTTTTAAAGGGACACACCTGACTGGATAAGCAAAAAAAGGGGCGTCACCGTATGGCACCACCTGATTGGACAAGAACAAAAGGTGTGTTACTGTACGGCACCACTTTTTCTGGAGACCCCTACTTGGGTCACATTTCTCCTGGTTAACCTTAGTGTTGGGGTCAGGGTCAGGCTGTAAAGAGGTCAAGCAGGGTCTAAGGAAACCGTCATGTAGGCCTCGTAGCCCACAGTGTTTATGTTTTAGACACGCCCACTCTTGTGTCACGCCCACTTTGATTCTGCAGATAACCCCTTCTCGATTTCACCGGTCAGTCCACTCGACGCTCTTCGTCGTTCAAATATGATGAAAAATTTTTAAAAGTTCTACAATTTATTTATCATAACTCCGGTTTTACTTGGTTTATCAACACAATTTTAAAAATGATGTATAGCCTGAAGTCTGTACTTTTGACACAATTTGGAACAGATTTTTACAGACAATAAATGTTTCACACTAGAGTAATTTAAATTGGTCATGTGATTAGGGCATGCTGTGGTCCAGGGACTCCAGGGCATTAATCATATTAATCATTATCGGTTAAATACCACAATTAATATTGATAATTTCTTTTGCCAATATTACCCAACCCTACTTCTAAACAAGTTTCGTTATTACTCAGTTCCTATTCTTTATTTTCATCATTATTAGTCAACTTTAAATGTGGCCAAAATACATAAAATATGTACTGGTAGATTACTCAAAAAAGTTTGTGATATTTTGTGAGATTTTGTTAATTAACTGTATTGGTGGGCACAGTTCAACTAAACCGCTAATAGCAGAACTGGGTTCTCACTTAGTGGACTAGCTTTTTTAGCTAACTTTGGAAACTGTTGGTGGATCAATTAGCCGCCGCTGAATTAGGTTCCGATAATTTTAAGTCCACTAAAAAGTCACAATAATAAACTTTTATTTTAATGCTGTTTATTTCGAAATAGATAAAAACTATTCATTCTCACAAGCAGTCCTGGGTGTGTCAGTCATCATGTGTAGCATGTAGCATCTTTAGCAGGTAACCACAAAACTAAGAGCGTTAAGAAGTACATAAAATAAAAGTTAACAATAATTAAATACAAAAAATTGACTACGTGTAAAATATTAAAGAGAAAGTATTTGCTATTTGTTGTTTGACTAACTTCAAATGATATTTATTAAAATACAAACTCGATCCAAGAAATGCTTTTAATCTGAAGGAAAATAATTGTAAATGACTGATTTTTTAGCTGTGACATATTTAATGAAACTCACGTGTTATAAAACTCTTGTGAATCCTTCATAATTTTCATTTTACAAGCTTATTATTTATACACAACGTATTAGCTACTCCTACAAAAGAGGATTAGGACCACAGAGCAAATGAGTTCTGACTTCTCCTTCTGAGATCTGAGATTAAAATCAGAACTCAGTCAAAATATTTCTTTTTCTCTGTGGTTCAAGTACTCTTGCATATACGTATTTCCAGCCTGAAATGGAGGGTTTTCTTAATATAATGTAATTTTTTATGCTCTGAAGAGAGTGATAAATATTACAAAAAAGGGTTTTAAACTACTACAATATTTATAAAGATGTGTGCTGCTGTGTAAAACCCCAAAGTTTTCAAATGAGAATTTTTTACCACCCTCCATTTAAAAACTTATTGTTTCATTGGTCAGAAGTTTGTGGGACTACTTGCTTCCATTAAAAAAATAACCTGCTCACTTCCAGAAGCTGACAATTGTACCTGGAAGCAGACGTTTGTAAAGATATTCAAATGGTCAAACACTCATGGATGGAGTTAAAACAGGCGTTATGCACGGAGGAATCTGTCTGATAAAAACTGTGGAGCTTTAACAGCAACAGACTGGTGCACAAATAATGTTGGGTGACTGGTCTCAGATTTTTTCCCCCACATTGTAGACTTCAGTGGAAAGAAACCCAGTGCAGTGATGTATGCTGCTGCAAGAGGGGCTTCCCAGGAGCTAGGCACGTTGTGTCTCGAGAGCTATGAAAAGTGTGTGTGAAAACGAATGCTGATCAACTACGTGACTGCGTGTTGACTGTCAGGCTTTGGATGGAACGTGGAGGCCTTTAGCAGGATTTTTTTGTCAGAACAGAAAACTGCTGACTTTGTGTGTTAGTGTCCCCCCCACTCCTCACGTCTAGGTGAAGCTTTCACGTGTAATGCTACGTTCACACCAAACACATATTGAGCATCAAAAGTGCCTCAAGTTGGATGCTTGTGCTCTTTCATGTCAGACACGCGTCATGAAGAGCTTCTTGTTGTTTTCTTCCTCTGCTGTTCTCTGTTTAATGGTGAATGAAATTAAGAAAGTGGCTTTGCTTTATTTACTGAGATCAAGAGGACGTCCAGATATCTCCTGCCAGGACACCAATTACAGACGGTCGATTTCAGCTGAAAAATTCCTGTCTGTCTGTCTCAGGTTAGCAGGTAACATTCAGGAAACCGTCCTGTCATTAAATGTGCCACTATGTTACAGAGCAGAGTCTCTCTGATCGGTCGATGCTCCGGGCCGATCAGTAAATTTTCATATTTTTCAACTCAAGCAGCGGCTACTTTGGATTGCGCTGCACGCACGTCAAACTCTCAAAACGCACCACGTGAGATGTGCTGCAGCACTTCCCGACACTCCTAGACGTGCATCCACCATAGACTTTGCATATAAACCAGACGCTCAAAGTGCGTTTGGTCTGAGCCTAGCATAAAGGAAGCTGCTGTGAGCTGTACCAATGCAAATCAAGTACTTACCACTGATCTTGTCGACTACCTCTTCCCAACTTCGTTCTTACATTTTAACAATGATATGTTGATAAAAAAATCACCAAAAGTAAAGTAATATCTTTTTATGTTTTTATTTAAGAGATTGGCATTCCTTTTAGTCTTTCCATTAAAATATGGGCCAAACAGTTGAACACATTTTGAGAGAAATGTCTGCAGACGTGTCTGCTGCTTCCAGTCTATTGATGATTTTCATCGTCTTGCTCCAAGTCTGAACTGCTGGTGTCATGGAAAAGATCATCTTTTGTTTCATCTTGGAAATGTGCAAAGCAGAGCAGAGGATGTATTAGAAGACAGGCCTACATTCTGTATGTTCACTCACAACATCACAAAACACTGAGCTATATTGAAATGCATAACAACAGTTAAAATCGGAGGTAGCCACAAGCTGTGTTCATCTGCAAGGGTAAGACCAAAAAATTGTGATGATGAAACATTAAACAAGTGACAAGTACAATTTTCTCAAAACCGTTACTACACCAGCATGCAAAGTTAGATTAGATTAGATAGACATTTATTGTCATTGTACAGAGCACAATGAAATTACAGTTCAGAACAACCATTCAGAAGAAGACAGAACATAACAAACATAGGAGAACAGGTACTCTGGGTCATGCTTCCACAGACCCTGCACAGAGCAAGGATCATCATCATGAAAACATCATGAGGAGGTGCAACCCTTAAAAGAAAAACTAAAAACCACACAAGGGAAGATGAGGGAAAAAACGTTTTATCAACAATGTTATACACTATGGTGTTTATAAAAAAAAACTGCATAGAGCAGATTTATTAGCCAGAGGAGTAAGTTGAGTTTAGGAGGGCATGTATCTGAAGCCATGAGTATTGTATGCATGTGTGAATATCTGAAAAATGAGCCCGAAGAATCCAGTCCCCAAAACCAGCACAGCCATAGTTCAGAATATTGATGGTAACTGCTCATTCTGTGCGGCCTTCAGCTTGCTCCGGGAACCAGATCACAGACGGGGGGTGGGGGCAGAGGGGCAGAGCCTCAGTCGATGTAACCATCCAGGAAGAATTTAGTCTACAGCTCAAGGCCATGTAGGAGAGCCAAATTCTGTAATCAGTTGTTTTGGGAACAGAAAAGTCAGGCAGACAATAACAATTTTCCATCTGCCTTCATGCCCACTGGTACAACTCATTGTGGTGAATCCAGTCAGACAAATAGCGTGGACAAATTCCGCCAAGTTGTGCTATCAGCTTTCTCCAAGATCAATTCCATCTGGCCAGCAAAGTCCAGGAACCACAGCCGGCCCGCGACCCTCAGCAGAACCACTTGCAGACCGAGTCCAGCTCGCTCAAGGCAAAAGTCTGAGTGCTGAAAGATTGGCAATCCTTTATAATGATCAGGCAGCCAGAAAATGAATCGTCACCGACACTGTTTTGTAGAAACACCCGGAGACCACCAAGCTAAACTGTAGAATCCAGTGATCAGAATCCAAATATATATCCAGAACAGAGCAGAACAGGGGTCCCACCTTTGACATGTCCTCCCCTGGAAGAAAAAACTTTGTTCCAAAAATTTATTAAGAGACCAGCTAACCAAATCCATAAAAATAAAAATATCCATTATTTCTGGGTTTGGATGAAAATGTAGAGAAGGCTCCAAGCAGCAAAGCAGGGAAGATAAGGAAGGGCAGGAGAGAAGGAAAAAGTGTCTTACTCCTCCGAGAGTGGAACAAAAAAAAAAGTACATAATTTGTTATAATAATTTAACCCAACCCTGATAAAATGGGTTGCGTTAAAATACACTATTCAGGTAAACAGGGGCATTAGGTGGAAACTTAATTCAACAGCAAGTACAACAACCTTTATGTGGATATAGACCCTTATACAAAAATAAATATATATGTATACAAACACCAATTTGCTGCTTAGCGTTGTCATAGTGGGTCTGTTTCTTGTGATTCTTCCCTCGATTCTACTTATTCTCTGTCTGGGTCTTCAGGATGTGCAAGTGTGTTTTTTTATATCCATTAAATGCTGTATCTTCTGAGAGACCAAGTGGCAGCAAAATTGCCTGAGATCGGACCAGATAGATTATGTTTGAGACCACGTCACACTGAAAACTCGCAAGAATAGAGCATAGACGTTCTTCTCAGTCTCCTCATTAGTTATTTATCTACACTTCGTTCTGTCTCTGTGCTGCTTCCTGTTATAACAATGGCTGGATGTCAACTGATTTTCTACATCCCAGAAGTTCCTGATGAAAAAGGTCCTCTTCAATGACCAGCTTCAGCCAGTCCCGCCACAGACAAGGAGACCCTGCTGGCTGCAATAAGTGGGTTGTCTCGCCAGCTGACTCAATTTTCGACCGAGGTCTTGCAACAGTTCGCCGATCTGAACGACAAGATGGACTATATTTTAGAGACACTTGCTCCTCTGGAATCCAGTGCGCACCATCGTGGAGGAGTCAAGAGAAAAAGACGGCAGAAGAATCCAAAAATTGCGGTAAGACTTGGTCATTTCTAAGCTAATGACACCAAAATTCACGGTATGTTTGCAGTAAGCACGTTCACATAATACTTCTTTGGTTTCACCTTAGGAGGTCATCCGCCGCCTGCACAACTCCAATTCCAATAAAAGCCGGTATGTCCTCTGCAAGGGTAATGGTGCGTTCACACCGAACGCGATTTCAGCGTCAAAATCGCAGCCAACGCTGAAGTTTGAAGCTTGTGCACTTTGAGGTCAGACGCAGGACACCTGCGCTGCACGGCGACAGCCGCCC